CAAATTTACACATGGTCCAGTTTGTGTCAGAGTGCGCTCCAACACTCGGAGTGAGTATTTCTGAATGCACCACTCGCATCATCTTCCTCCACAAGCCAACAGAACTTGCTAGCTAGGGCTAACTAAAGTCTGTGGAGAATTGTTTTGCCTTCAGCTAAGCCCCGCCCATCAGAAAAAGCATCTATAGCACTACAGACAAGAAGAGAAATATGTGTTTTTGATGTTGGGGTGAACTGTCCCTTTCAAAAACCAAAATAATCAGTGAAAAAGGATTTTGTGATGACAGCAGTGTTATGTTGCAGATCGACCTGGAGACAGTGAAGGACATGTACTTGGAGAAATACGACGTTACCCTGAAGGACGCTCTGGATTCCGAGTGTGGTGGAGACTTCAAACGCCTCCTCATCGCAATCCTGCACTAAAACTTCTCGCCTTCTTCCTACAGGCCTTATTTAACCAACGTGACACAGTCTCTGTACCCACTCATCCTTCCTCCTCTTCTTTATACTCCTTTTACCAGTTACACTCATTCACTCTGTGGACCTCTCTCTGACAGTCAGTCCTCATTACAGCATGGACCAAAAACCAAATTATTACTCTACTATACAGTGTTTTACACATGGTGAACTTAGGCTTTAAATACACAGTTTTGCCAAGAACATTTCACTCAGTGGAAATTTGTAGTCCAACATACAGAGGTGCATTTAATGTGTTATTCCTTTTGATAATATTACAGTGGCATTGTGAATCTTATATGGATCTTAAATGTGCAGCTAAGCGTCATGTTAATTTATTTGTCCAAATAAATAGTTGTTCTTTATTCACAATCAGCAGCTTTACAATCATTTGGTATTTCAGCTCATCGTTTCATCCTAAACATCAAGAGGCTGCTGCTGCTGCTCATCATAAATGTCGCCTCTTATTTTTGTCACCTTGCACATTGCTGTCATCATCATCCATTAACTTCGCCACTGTTTGCCTCAGAGATGCCTTTCATGAGATGATAGCGATGTAATTTCCTTTCTTGCTGCAACACTCAACACATAAGTGCCGAATTATCACTTTTGATCTCTGATATCTGAGTACACCAGAGGATTAATTATACATGAATATGATATCAAAAGCATCAACTCTTTAAGTATGCAATATTGGCTTTTTGTAGTCACGTCCCTAAATGTTATGTGGGATTTTTAACTCAGACGGTTTATAGTCTTATCTTAAGTCACGGCTAACATGCTGCCTCTCACATTTACACACTTTGTTAGACTGTTGCCTTTTTTCCTGTTGTCACTCTTGTCATGAAATTTACTACAGAAGTATAATCCTACAAGATAACTGTGTAAAACTTTAAGATGATTTTGCATTTAATCTCATTAGATGATAATATTTTAAAAAGACATACATTTTGCTCTGTAACCTCTGTTGTACAATCAACACAGTGAACACAGTGTCTGCATCCATGTATGGAAGTATATCCTCACTAATTACAGTAATGTATATGACTAAGATATGCAGTTGTATTGTCATATAGCAAATGAATACACTAAATTATATGAAAGAAGTAACTGTTAACCTGTTGTAACGGTGTATGCAGTGATAATAAATTTTAACTGGAGCAAAAATGTGTCGTTGTCTTTATGTCCTGCAGGGGGCAGTGTTTCACCACGGGAAAAAATGGCATGACGGTGGATTAAATCATAGTAAAATCCATGATATATTGTTGTACATAACTGTATAATCTATTACATGCTTTAACATACTGTATTATAAACATTATGATAATATATATAAACAATCTTTTGCTGTGATGTCAAAAAAGACGATTTATTAGGCTGCTTACTGTTATATAATGTTTGTGGTGGTGGCCTATGATCCAAAGCCATGCAAGAGTTGTTTTTTACAGCATCTAGCCCAAAACATTTTGACTTACTACAGAGCACAGAAACTGTGGGACGCCTCTGGGCGACTAATCGAGGGGGAGAAAAGTTCAAAACAAGTGAGAACTGCTTCCAGATGCACTGACACAGGAGCAGCCGATCTCTCACTTTCTTTCCCACGGCTTCTCTTTCTCCCACTCTTCCCTCCATGTCTCTCTTCTCCTTCATATTCCTTGATGTAATGGTTGTTTCAGTATCAAGGGCAAAGTTTGGAGCACTCTTTGCTTTCTGCACATTCTTTTGCTACCTGTACATCCACAGCCTGTGCACCATATGTAGCCCAGTAGCCCCACCGGCCACCTCATGCTACACAACAGCAGCCCGCCTATCCCTCCCTGCAGCTGAGGAGGTCGTGTGCACCACACATGCTTGTTAATAAAAGGTGGGGGGTGTAGCCTAGATTCCGTAAAGTGTGTGGGCACACGTTTAAAGTGTCAGATTCCCTTTTCAGAAATGTTTGTCAGGATGTATTGTAGTTTTTGGAAGGAAATCAACCCGATTGCAACATTTTCCTGCTTTAGCACATATGCAGACATTTTTGCTAAAACGTTACTATTTAAAACACAAATAGTACGCACGGATGAGTGACGCGCCTGCGCAGTTTAAAGCAGAAATATTTTAAATGGTAAAGTTGAGGCAGGGGTCAGGAGGGATGGCGGAAATGGAGGACAGCACTGAGGAGTTTTACTGTAGAAGCAGGAGAATATCAGAGGAAAGACAGAAAATGAAAATGAGTCACAGTTTGAGTGAAAAGGAGAGAGAGATTTAAGGTGCTTTCACACCTGCCTGTTCGGTTCAGTTCAATTGAACTCAAGTTCGTTTGCCCCCTAAGTGTGGTTCGTTTGGGCAGGTGTGAACACAGCACTCGGGTGTGCACCAAATTACCGTACCGAGACCTTCTTGAAGAGGTGGTCTCGGTCTGGTTACAAATGAACTCTGGTGCGGTTTGTTTGTGGTGAGAACGTGTTCCGACCTCGATCTGAACCAACTGCAGTCACATGACACATTGTTTGGGTTAAACATGAGCATGTTACAGTCCTGGAGGATTATTAATGTGCACCTCCTCCTGTACTGCCTTAATATGCACATTCAGCACATCCAATGCATCAAAACATTGTTTTCTAGTTGGAGCCGCGCCTCGTTTTCAAACTGTATGATTTGACTAAAATGAACAATGACAGCAATATAGTCCACGATGAGCAGCGCTAAAATCAACCTGCGTAGTTGTCCCTCCATTGTGTCATTAGAAAGTGTCACATTTATCTTGCAAGTGTACTCTTCTTCAGCGTTTTGTTTACTTCCTGGATTTTTCCCACATGGAAATTCTGAGCAATCAAGAGCTTTCTCACACAACACATTTTATCTGGTCCACTTGTAAATGCCGTTGTGAGAATATGAACCAAGTCTATGGCAAATGTGCAGCTTTGTAACAAAATTAGTCCCTGATTCGGACCAAAGCAAAATAACTCTAGGTCTGAAAGCACCCTTACATGGTTGGAATGAAGACTCAGGGTTTGATCGAGGGGGCAGGAAGTGGAGTACTGTCAGAGACACACTGTGGCAAGGTGGAGGAAGGAAGAAGGAAGTGCAAAAAGTCAAGCTGGTCAATGTCAAATGGTCTGATGGATGGTCAAATGGATAGTTTTGGAGTGTGGGTCAAAGAAACAGGTGGAAAAGGCACTGAAAGTCCACGTTTTGTAGGGATGGGATAGATATATATCCTGCAGCTGAACAAGAAAGCCCCAATCAAAGGTGTTGTTGACAGGGTCTCACATTTTGATTTGGAATACTTGCCAGATAGAGTGTTGCTGGGTCATGTGTCATATCCAGTAAGGCAGTATGTCCCCAAACTACTTCAGCATAAGAACTGTTGGATGTTTGGTCAGAGTTTGTTTGTATAGGGATTCTGAGACTTGTGGTAAATGTGGAGAGAGTGAATGGGGAGGAGATTGTGTGAAAGAACCAGAGTGTGTTCTCCACAAAGGCAAGCATGCAGCATGGTAGGCTACCTGCCCAAAGCGTGTAAGACACAATAAATAATCAGATCCAGAACAAAGAAAAGACATAGACATGAGGAAGTAGGTAAAACAAGCTGTGCATTCCAATCCCCACACTACCATACTATGGAGTATACCAGAAAAACATTTAGTATTTCCCAAAACAAAGTAGGTGAAATGCAGCATGCCAGAAATACCAGGATGTTCTACTACATCCAGTCTGACTTTGCGGTATGCAAGTAAGCATGCTTTTCTGGCTATTCTGACCCACAATCCTCTGCACAGCGGACGATACGTCAAATCAGCTGAGCCACAAACAGACGGATGACAGTGCATTCAAATAACTGATGACCAGTCAAATAGTCATAATAGGAATATTGATTGTATAGGTGAACTGGGTAAAATAGTGTTCACAGGTCTGTGTATACCTATCCAACATATTTGGTGTCTTTCCCTCAGTTCTGGGGGTCAATCTTTTCAGTAAAACCCCTTTAAAGATCATAATCTGATGTACTATACCTGTATTTGGGGTACTGCTACCCAACACCCATTTTTTTTTGGCCAAAATTTCCATTTACAGTTTGTGCCACACTGCTCCTATGGGTGTATCCACATCTAAACTGGGTTAATATTGTAATGTTAATTATTGTGCTATGGTAAAATACAATATTTCCCTAAGAAATGTAATGAAGTAGAATAAGAATGTAAACCAACATAAAATGGAAACAGTGGAAAATAATGGAGAGAAGACAGCAGGCTACTTGAGTACTCTCCATCACGAACTGCTCATGACGGGATGTTAATAACATAAATACCATTATCAATATCATAAAATGTCTGCTCCTTAATGTATATTTTAATGTACATTTCTTTGATGTCAAATAACGTTAAACCTCGCTACATCTCGCGATAGCAGTGTGATCTCACTCCAGTGATTACAGCGCACTCAAGGTTGCTATGGCAACTTAGGGGAAAAATTCAAATAAGGAAATATTAGATAGACTTTTCATTTCCAAACATTGATAACTGCTTGGTGGAAAAACAGAAACAGAAAAGCCAGAAGAAAACCGACTGAAACAGACAGACATGATCCACATGGAGGAAACTCCAGTGTCCATCAGGTAATGATATTATTCTGTTAAGTGTTTGAACAATTTATATTTGTTTGGGTTAAATAATGCATGGGACAAGGTTGTCTCGGTGGGGATAGTGGATGATAATATTGAGCTGCTACATAAGAGGGAGTTTGTTTTTAGTTTGTATGCTGCACTTTGTTCATGACAACATGTACAGGACAGTGACGATAAATGAGGTTCCATATTAAATATGAGGTGAGTCATGTCTAAAAGTCAATCACAGTCGTGCAGATATTCAGCACAACAGCGACCTCGAGTGTGATATTGTTTTAACACAATTATTTATCAGGCTACTTGCTGTCATATATTGATCTGTAGTTTTCTATTCATTGTGCAGGCAGTAAAATGTGTTTTGGTGACATGTGTGTTCTCTAAAGTGTTTTTCCCAGCTGTAAACTCTTGGAGCGTGTGATAGCGCTTTGGAGGCGTTTTTACAATGTGAGGCTTTGCGTCTGGTTGCTAGGATACGGAATATATGCGGAAATAACCATGTCGGCAGCACCTGCTTAAAACCACACCTCATGGTACCTATCTTATGCCACTGGGACAGTGTGTGGATTCTTGGGGGAAACATAATATGTGTAACCCCTGGGTAAATCCCCAGAGCTAAAATTTTAAAAATGTAAACTGAAATGTTTATATCAGTAAAAAATATAATAATAAATAAAATATAAAAATAATGGGTATATTCCTTTAAGAGTAACCAGTTTGTTTTGAGCGTACACCCTTCAACACAAGGGGGTGACAGACTACCGTCCTCTGATTAGTCCATATCCATATGATATCATGTTTCTGAACTTGTGATTGGTTGGTGGGCGGGACTAAGGCAGACAGCAGGTGAGAGTGACGGAGGGGACGCGGGACTACAGCGATGTGGTTACTGTGTGTTTTTCCTCCCTAAAGTTGACTTGCTGCCAAAAGTGAGTCAAGTTAGTATTTTGGATAGTTAAACTCCTTCACAAGTAGTGTGTTATTCAGCTAAAAGTGTGTTTTTGCCCCTTGAGAAGCTGTCAACTGTGAGAGCTATAGTCTGCTGCTAGCATATCTGTTAGCATGTCGCCAACGGCCGGCTAGCTAATTGAATGGATTGTGAAGGCCTCTAGGTCACAAGATGGCGCCCCGTGTGACCGGGAAAGCACGGGTTCACCGCCAGCTCAAAGGGAGATCCGTTGCTGCTCGGTGCTGATTGTGACGAAGGTCCCTTCGTTTTCCAGTGGAGCACAGAGACACATAGTCTGTGAGTAACCCTCTGTCGCGCTGCTCCGATCAGTGAATACGGCGTTCAGACAGTTTGGTTGACCCACACTGCGTACAGGGGCTGCATCTGGGAGGTTCTTTATTTGTGTTTTTATTATCTTTTATCATATTATTTATTTTTTTTTTATTGCTGGCTTTTGTGCTTAATTTCCATGTTGGCCCTGAAAAGTAAAACAGTTAATTGGTTGCTGATTGATCCAAATAGTTATGGAAGAGTAAACTAAGTAATACAACTTGAATTTATTGCTCATAGTGTTAATAGTGTCTTCTGCCCTAAACTTTTTGGTTTAAAGTAGGAATGGAGGAAAACATTGATACAATATAGCATCACAATATTTTGCGTGGTGATATTGTATTGATACACGGAAGCCAAGTATCGCTCTTTTATCACATACAGTATTCATTTTTGCAATTATACATTTTATTCCAATTCTTGATGCTAGAATAATTAAATCGTATTCTTCTCTGGCCCACTAGATGGTGCTGATGGGTTTTTTTCCTGGTGACTTCATCAAAACAAAGGTGGAGGCACTGGAGAAAGGAATCAGAAATGGGCCCTCTGCGTTTATATCAAACATCTGAACATATTTTGGATTTCTTAACATGGAAAGAAAGGAGGACTAGGATATGGCACGTTATTTGCAAGCAGTGTCATATGAGAGTAAAATACTCTAGGAATACCAGAGATGACGTTAGCCACTGACAGCCAAAGTAACGCTAAGCAAGAGCGAAGAAAATAACACAGTCCATTACTGACTTCATGTGCAAAGATCTGCGTCCATACAGCATTGTTGAAAACAAAGGCCTTTGTGACGCCTAGACTTAAAGGTCAGTGGATTCATATGTGACTATAACGGCACATTATCTCACAGAGGACTGGAGACTGCTGTCTTGTGTTCTCCAGCACACGAAAGTCACACTGGAGCAAACATCGCAGACCTCCTGCAAAATACAATACAAGAATGTAACAGACAGCACTTCTAACATGGGTGTTGGCATTCAGTTAGTAGGATACCTGCATATGAAGTGTTTCGCTCACAAGCTTAATCTGGCCTCTGGCGTTAAATCTGCCAGCAGTTAGGTTTGTCAGGTGTATGCAGCATTTTTGACAGGTGTTATGACAGTGTTGGTCAGTCTGTCTGCTTTGTGTCACGTTTTGTCGTAAATAAAAATGATTTAAGTCAGATGAACAGACTGAAAATTTAAGCGCTACTTATATATAGTACATAGAAAGGTTTCTCCTCAATTGTTGTTGTTCAGCACATGTAAATGTAAGATGTGACGGTTTGTCTGTCTTTCACTGGGATTGATCGACCAAAGTGACACTGACGAAGGCAGTGTTTTATCCTAAGTTGAACATTTTTCAACTCTTGGCCCTCAGAAAAAACAAAACAAAAAAACAAGCAGTGCTCAGCACAGAATTCACGCCCAGTGCCTCGTCGCACTGCAGACGTTTGTAGCGCGGCACAAATACACAGCACTACCATTGCAAAACATTAATAAAATAGGCCGACCTGATGTCATATGAGCACACCTGTAGGTTTGCAATGAAGTATCCAGGCTTCTTTCCTCCTCCTCCTCCTCCTCCTTCTCCTCCTCCTCGTGTGATGACCATTCATAATTTTACTCAGACATTATTTGTTGAAATGTGTTCATCTTTGTGATGTAAAGGTTCTTACAATGAACCTCAATGACCATATATTTAAGTCCTATCAGTTTTACAGGTGAGTAATAGTGTCATGGTTGGCCTGCCTCGTGGCTTCAGGCTAGTAGCAGCTTATATGAGCCAGGGAATGTGGATTTTGAGAACTGAAATGTCCCAGTTACCTGACTGTGGTCTTAAACCCTCTTGTTTATAGTAACAACTCGTGATCCCTTTTCTTTTTTTTTTTCTTTTTTTTTAGTTCTGGAGCTGAAAATTCAGGCGAGGAGCCAGCCAAAATTGCCATAGATGTTGAAGATGACGTAGGCATAAGAGAGACACAAAACAACTTTGTGAATAGACTGCCATCTGCCTGGCAGGTCATTTTGGTTGGGATTTTGACAGCACTCGTCTGTGGTAGTGTTGTCGGTGTCCTTGTGGTTCAGGTAAACCAACAGCAAAGTCTAACAGCGGAGGTACAGCACATGACAGAAAACATCAAGCAGCTGCAAATTAAAATCAGTCAGCTGAAGCAACTTCTGAAGTCTACTCATCAAAACTTCACCCTTCTGGGAAGTGAGTATGTCCAACTGAAGCTGCTCGAAAACGCAACACAGTACAACCTCACCTTGTTGTCTGCTGAAAACACACAGCTGAGCCTGCTCTTGCAAGGAAAACCCAATTTGCAAGTGGAGAACAAAGAGCCGAACATGATTCTAAATTCAACCCTGGAAAACTGTGACCCTGTGAGAGGGGAGAACAGACAAGTGAAGCTGCTTCTGAGAGAATCATTGGACACCATCAACATGGTGTCTGCAGAAAGCAAACAGCTGCGCATGCTGTTACACAATGAACAACAAACCTCCATTCAGCTGGAAGCAAAGAATCAACACCAGCGTTCACTCCTGCTCTCCAACAAACTGTCCTCCTTCTGGAGATTCTGCAACAAGGACACGCTGCAGTGTTCCCGCTGCCCGCCTGGCTGGGTCGAGCATGCTTCACGTTGCTTCCTCCTGTCTCAGAAAGCAGAGAATTGGGAAGAAGCTCGCAGGAACTGTCTTGACATGGGAGGTGACCTGGCTGTTGTTTTGAGTGCAGACGACCAGGCATTCTTGACCAACATGACTTTTCAGTTTGCACAGCAGCATCCTCAGACAGTCTTCCATGCAGCGTGGATCGGATTGCAGGACATGGTGAAGGAGGGCATCCATCTCTGGGTCAGTGGCAACACAATCCAAACAGATGTCATTTACTGGGACCCCCTGAAGCCGAACAACGCCATGGCCCTCTGGGACAAAGATGGGGCAGGGCCGGACTGTGTTGCCATCGTCCCACCGTCACACATTGGACAGGAGAACTGGCTAAACTCCTGGGATGACATTATTTGTGGTGACCAGAGGCACTACCTGTGTGAGACCATGGCTCTCACTTTGTCAGCACTAACGTAGCTGCATCTCAACTCTCTCAGGCTGAGTTTGCTGGTGTTTACTCAGTCTGAGCACAATCACTGGTGTTGGGATGAAAATACCAGATTTTTTTTAGATTTGTTTTATTTATGAGGACAACAAACATTAATCAACACTTCTGTAAATGTGCCAGTGTTAGCCAGCTGGCTAATTTCCAACTGGAGTCCTTTGGATGAATGAAGGCAGAATTTCAGAATAAATCTTTTGCATGCTTAATTTCTCTCATTTATTAGTTTTGAACTTTTATTGCTTTGTGTTCCCAAATGGTTATTTTGGGGGTGAGGTATTCCTTGATTAGAAACAAATAAAGGATTGTAGAAAAATTACTAGTGTGGATAGGGGGGTGGAATCTTGAATAAATTTTAATGTTTAACTTTTTCCCAAAGCAAGAGCCTTAGAAAATCCCCCTTTCAGTATCTCAAAATAACATAAGAGTAGGCCTATTGATACAACTTGATTAAACATTAATAACCAAAAGAGAAAACAAAGATGCCATATAGAGCTTTGATTAGGCCCCACAAAATTAGGCCTGACCCTACAATGAATCTGCGTACTTTCCGTCCAAGCCTGTCTCAAGCCAGAACCAAGGCAGTAGTTTTCATTCTGATTTAAAACCAAAATTTCCACTTTTGAAAAAGTCTGTATTTACAAGCACAAGTCAAAGTCTTCAGTGCGGTAACAGACATTTGTGATGGGTGCATTTGTAAATAGTCACTTGCAGCGCCAAAGTGCACTGTAGGGCAAACTTGACTGTTTGTAAAGTCAGAGCACTGTTTGGTACTTTGGTTATTCAGAGCGCCAGAAGCTCTGGGTACAGAAGAGACGGAGCAGCACAGCGCCAAGCGCAGTAAAAGTGCAACTTAACTGCTTGTTAATTTCTATACAAACAGAGAGATCAGCGCCAACCCTACACAGTTCAAGCCCTGGGGAATGTTGAGAAATTATGGCCCGGGCTAGAAATCTGGCGGGTCTGATCGGGCCCAGTTGAGTTCAGGCAGAGAATCAAAGCACATTCAAAACATGTCCCGCATATCTGCGTTTTCTAAGAAATTGAGAATAGAGTTATAATATTCAGAGAAAAAAAGTCCTGTCCTATAGTCTGCTGTGCATGATGTTATAGCTCTTCAGACCGTCTGCCAGACAGAGCCCTGTTTGGACCTCTTTCTGGAAAAGACAAAGTTTAGGGAAGCAGCTGTGCACTGCTCTTCATCACAGGTGGAAAACTGAAACTAGATCTAAAAAAAGAGGAGGAGGAGAGTTACCTGTACAGTTAGTATCTTGCTATGGAAAAAGGGAGTCGGACACAGCTGTAATTCCTCAGCTGGGTCCCCCTTTTTCTCTCTGTCTATAAAGCAGTGTTGCTTGCCCCTTTTTTTTTAGAGCACCACACTCAGAAGTAGGAAAACTATCCACTTTCCTGATAAAAGGATTGAGGGAGAAGCGTGCCTGAAGCCTCGAACCTCCTAAATAGACATTTCTGTCTTTGTTGATTTGTTTTTCCACTCATAATCACATTCAGTACATTGTTGTACCCGCTATCTTTGAAAAGCGCCTGGTCAAAACCTCAGAAAAATATGCAAATTTTAATTTTATTTTAGGTGATATTGTTATCTACTTTGAATCTGGATTAGGAAGTGATTTATGCTGTGGTCCCATTGTGTTTTCTAGCTAATAAGTCCCAGTTATAGTCATCTGCAGCATCTGTTTTCAAGAAAATATTCAGGCTGAGATGTAAACAAAAACTTAAACTTGAGCGTGTTCAAAGTTATTATACTCAAAGCCAGTAGCACTTAGAGTGATTCTGACAGCTGGGGTAAAAACTTTGGTGTCATCTTTCAAAAGGACCATGCATGTACACGTACTAAAAATAGCTTTCAGTTTACTTTGGGTCTGCCTTGGAGAGGCATTATGGGTGAATTTTAAAGGCATTATAAGATGATTTATGCAGTTATGATCTTCGTTATTGTATTTCTTTTAACAAATAATCTGAAAGGAAAACTTGATAGGAATCTAGATGCTTTTAAAGGCACATTCCTGCTCTCTTAACAAAGTCAGACCACCCTCCTTTCAGCAGAAAGGAAAAAAGGCAAAACATCCCCCCTTTTCTGAACCTCCTCATTCCCTTATAATTTCTATACAGTCCCTAAATGAATATGATGCATGGCATGACAGATTAATGTATTTAAAGGTCATTCCTTTTATATGACATTAGATGTTATTAGTTTTATAGCATTTAAATTTAAATTAAGTGTTTTCTAAAAGCCATTAAAATAATGCCTCTGGGACCTAAACACTAACATGTGTTTTCCAACATACATGTACACAGACAAACACATGCACTGCCTAAAGACACACCCATACCAGCTCGACACACTCATACCCTTGTCTTTCCCTCCATCTGCACTCCATTAACCAGAGTGCTAATGTGTAAGGGCAACTGGTCCTGCCAGACGGAGCTCCACCCTCTATACCGTGGGGCTCTGACCTTTTGCTCAAACGTTTTATCATTGTCAGCCCACCATAACTCACCCAGGCACTCATCCATCAGCCTGGAGGTGGTTTCAATTTGTCTCAAGACATGCTTTCTTTCTGTTCTGTTAGCCGACTCCGATCTGCTTATTGTCTCGTTCCTGACAGAGGTTGTGCACAAGATTTAGGCTTAGTTCACCAACTGTGCTGCTCATGCTTTATTCATAGCAACAGTCTGGTCAAGCAACCTTGAACTGGAGAGAATTAGACGATTGAAGTGGGGAAGCGGTCGTGCCGGCGCTCTTTTGATCCCACCACCTTTAAGACACAAACCTACATATTAATGGCACTAATCCCCTAAAAGTCATGATTTATTGAATAATCTATAGCACACAGTAACCTGGGGGTCACAGCTTCAAAGGCTGAAATAATAACATCAGTGGGTCCACTGGTTTTCATAGAACATATGCCCAGGATCGTAATATGCTTTTTGATCTTGTGCCAAAGCAGAGCAGCACACCCGCAATGAGAGGGGTTGATGGTGGACGTGCGTAGGAAGGCCGTTAGGAGGTTAACTACCCGACTAATATAATTTCAACTGTTTATATTCATGATAAAGAACCTCTGGTCTTTGATGTGTAATAAGAAACACCTGGCAGCTTCTGCCAGGAGCAAACATATTCGATTCAGTCTGCACGTCTCTGACTGAATAGGTGATCAGTCTCTAAGGCTACGCTCAGACTGCATGTTAAAGTGGACCAGACAGTGGATGCACAGTGAGGTGTCAGACCTGCTAAGTATTTGGGGTGACAGTTATTAACAAGCAAAACTTAAGGGGTCTGTGTTTGAAAGGATATCCAAACAAATGGCCAAGTAGGGTCACAGAAAAACATGGCTGCAGTGTCAGAGAAAAGTTAAGAGCCTAAAAGCAGAGTTTAAAGAACTTTTGCACATGTGGGTCAGTTCAGGACTTTGACCAGTAACACTGGAATCTGAGATGGGACACATTTATGAAATAATGTGAGCAACCAAACAAACAAATATACAAAAAGGATCCAAGCAATACATCCGAAATGAGCATTAAGACACTAAGCAGTGCAATAACTATGGAAAGCTGCAGCATCTCCAGTCACTCCTGTGATGGGTTGACCTATGTTACGAAGAATTTCCTCCCACCTGAACACGTCGCCTCCCAGCTGCAGAAAAGTGTAATTGCTACAGCAAGGCGCACACACACTGTTGGTGTTTTCAGTACAAGGCTTGCTGTGTGAACCCTAAACAGAGTATAGGAGACATACAAAAACAAACACAGTGATGATTTGTGATATATTAAATGATATAGTTTGTTGCAATTGAAATCTTTAACCCTTGTGCCTCCCTTAGAAAAAGAACCTCTGTCCTTAGATAACAAAAATGCATCTGCCATGAAAATATTAAACATTAATATTGCTTTCTACTTTCATTGAGTTAAATCATTTAACGAACTTCAGTGCTGATCATAACTAACAAATATTCATTTTCAGAATTTTAACCCTTAAAATGACAATTTGTTTGCATAATGTCACTGTTGTTTTTCATGGGGAAAAAAAGAATTTGTACAGTAAATGATTACAGCTTGCTTTGCCCGGGGGCCACTTTTGCAAAATAACAGGAGGCCATGGGTCGATTAATAAAAGCATTAATAATATTTATCAGTACTAAATTAATTATCTGTTTTCAATTTTTCGATGTTTGCTGTCCTCACTCAACTTGCCACTCAACTGGACTGGCCTGTCACTCAACAGGCCAGTCCAGTTGCAGCAGCCCCCCGCAGATCAGGCGTAGGCAGGTACGTTTGTAGGCATAGTCGTAGATATTTAGGGGAGATTTACAACGTGTATTTGTTTCCTTCAATAAAAACATTAAAGTAGTAGAGGAGTTTTCTTCAAATAAAATTAGATGTTTCCACCTTAAATTGATGCATAAAATTCACCAAAATGCAGGAAATTAAGTGTTTGACACCTAAAATTTCCTGTGGGATGACCCCAAACCCCCTGTTTACAATGTTGAATCAAACCAACGCCCTTGTTTGTGAGATTTGAGAACATTTGGGGGTTAGCCTGGACCTCTGTCGGGGGTCTGGGGGATCCTCCACTTTTTTATGCACTCTGGCACTGTATTTCCAAGTACAAAATATAATTTCAGTGTGAATCAACTGATATTCATTGTGAGTTGGAAAATGGTCGGCGGGCCACCTGGCAACCTGTCACGGGCCAGATTTGGCACACGGGCTGTAAGTTTAGTATCCCTGCTCTACAGCCATACCAGATGGCTGTAGAGTTAAAATCTGACTGTGTCAGAATGAGCAAGGGTCTTTATTGTTGAAGAAAGCTAGTTTTTATTTAATGTTCAGAAAGTTATTTCTTATTAAAGTTCTTCACGTGACTACACCCAATGTATCACCAAGCAGAGTCTTTACCAAAGACTGTATAGCTGTACACTATACAGTACAGTACAGTTGTGACTTCGAAGACTCTGGCTCCAAAAGCACAGGATGGCAGCACCCAGATATTTTGGCTGTAATTCTTTAGAGCGTGAGGAACTACAGACACGTCATCCATCTTTAAATACAGTCTGTGGTCCTTATACAGAGGCAGCAGCGAAAAAAAAAAAAAAGTCCAGCAAAACAATTTTATTTTTATTGGATTTAATATAAAACATCAAATATACACTTTATTACAGTTTAGTTTGAGT